TATATATATATTATATATATATATATATATATATATATATATATATATATATATATATATATATATATATATATATATATATATATATATATATATATATATATATATATATATATATATATATATATATATATATATATATATATATATATATATATTATATATATTATATATATATATATATATATATATATATATATATATATATATATATATATATATATATATATATATATATATATATATATATATATATATATATATATATATATATATATATATATATATATATACTTTCTTAAAAGAAAATTAGGGTTTTTTACCCTTAATAAGAATAATATTTTATTTTACTTTTTAATACATTAAATATTTTATTTTTACACATATAAAAATAAATAAAAACATTTTTTGCATATTCATAATATTTTGCATATTTATTTAATTGACCATTTAAATACTTGCCTATTTATTTATTTGTACCATTTATTCAATTTGGATGTAATAGTAAATATTAGGGTTTTATTTTCTTGCAAATATTCCCCATTAAAAAATGTATCCCCCTCCCTATATCAAATATTGTAATAGTGTAGATTTATTTTACGCACTTTATGCTTTCAAATATTCCATTTTAGAGATTAGGGTTTGTATGCAAAAATCCAAAATCAAAACAAATTGCTTGAATAATACAAAGACAAAAAAAGCATGAAAATGACAACACAATGCACACATGCACTCCCTAGGGTTTTATCCACTTGTTGCCTTTAAAAATGGCCATGTTATACATGTTGAGTATCTTGGCAAAACAAAAACAAAACAAAAGATCATAGTCCCTCGATGACGCTATCTTGGTTGCCTATACAAAATGATCTAGACCCTCAAAAAATTGCTAAAGATACTTGGCAATATTGCTATCATGGTCAATACGATGACCCGCGCCTGTCCCGTTTAACATCCTAATACAAGGTTGTTTACCAAATGCAATGGTAAAACAACACTGTCAAATGGGTTAAAAATGTGTAGGAAATATCTTTGAGTATATAGGGTAGACAACTCTTAGTTACTTGATCAAAACTTGCAAATCATCCTTGCTAATTTCAAATACACATCACAACACAATTTCAAAACATTTCCCAAAACAAACTTTCAAACCTTCAAACTTTCAAACATTGAAAAATCTTTTCAAAATACAATACACCTTTGTATACATTCAAACAAGAATCATTACAAAGGTTGCCACAACGATGGCTTCTTTTCAAAACATTTTCAAAACCACACACAAAGCACCATTTCAAACAATTGAAAAGCAAAAGCAAGTGATCTAAACAAGTAACTAAGAGCCCATGGATAACCATGGATGAAAAGGGTGCTTGCACCTTCCCTTTTCATAATCTACCCCCTGAACCCAAGAAAAACATCTCAAAGGTCTTTCCTGTGTTTTTTGACCTTTCCTTTGGATAAAATAAAAAGTTGGTGACGACTCTTGCTAAACCGAAACATTTGCGAACACAAACGCAAAACCTCAAATCAGTTTTCCCACCGTATCACGGTATCCCTCTTATGAGGTTATGATATCAGACAACTTGTTATGACATTAAAATGTTGAATGAGTTATGGATTATGCTAGAATCGGGGAAGCTAGGAGTCTGAAGAGCATTTTTGTTTGTGTCTGGGGGAAGTTATTTTTCTCTGCAGAATCTGAAGGAGCCCGATGGATGGTCTGTTTGATGAAGAAAGATATCTCACATGTGATGTTTTGATATCTTAGTTTGTTCCACTCTTGATTGAAAGGAGTGCTTTTAGAGTCTAAAGGAAGGCTTGGTTATTATACTTCATTGCATATGGATAAGTATGGGAATTTCCTTAGACTATGTTGATGAAGAAGCGTGTTCTATGGTGTTGAGTTTGATGGGTTGTAATGGATTTGTTCAGGCTTATGTGAAGAGATGTTGGATGTGTTCTCCTGATATCAAACATATTGTAGATATTACCTCTTGTTAAAAGCCTTTGTCGTGTTCTAGCTAAAAAGCGGGAGAGAATATGTGTATGTGTTGAGATTCTCTTGTGCCAAACCTGTGTGTGCAGCTTTTAAGGGGGAGAGAATGTGTTGGAGTGTCATAAAGAAGTCATATTGTTGATGTTATGACATCATGTGAAGACAGTGAAGACTGAAGACTGTCAAATGTGAAGCCTAAAAACTGACTGCTTCTGATGTCTTTAGTTTAATGGTTATTGCTGACTGATTGTATTATTTAACTTTTGAGTTATGTTCTTGTCATACAAATTTTATGTAAATTAGTTTTAGCCAAAATAAGCCAAAGGGGGGAGATTGTTAATTCTCTAAATTATGTGATTGGCATTATGTTTGGTAAAATTAATATAGCAACAATATGTTAGATAAGGTGTGCTAACTTTATAACAGGAACAGGTTGTGCGAGAAGTCCTATCTTATGTTGAGACGTGTTGTGATGAGAAGTTCTCATCATCTAGAGCAACATGTCGAATCAGATGTCCTATGAAGGACCATATAACATCACGCCTGAGCTTAATTGACTGTTATATTCTGTTAAGTCACAAAAGCAAAATATATTTTAAGGATACTATATTATCCTATGTTGCCTTGTTTTATGGGTCAAGAAGAATCAAGAAGAATATTGAAGAATATGCACTTTCTAATTATGGAGATAAATTAGGAAGATTTGATTGAAGACCTATTGTTATGCAGAATCTTCTACTGAATTGTAACAACTGATGAGCTATGATTGAAGACCCAAATCCAGTTGGGAAAAGGTTATAAATAGAAGTCTTTGTAACCTAGTTTTGGTACCAGCCGAGAATTGTAAAGATGTAATCATTAGGGTTGAGTCTGTATCCAATCTCTAGGAGAGTTGGTATGTGTGAACCACTCGTGTTGTGAGATGGTCACTGTGTTCTCCTCGAAGTTGTGAATCAAGAGTGAGTATTGTTCTTGGAGGAAGCTTGTAAGCAACTCCAAGTTGTGATCTTAGTCAAGAGTCTTGGCTAGTGATTGTCATAGAAGTATTTCTTTTTTTTTGCTACCGTGGAAGTGCGTCTTCCTATTTGTGTCCAATTGCTATCTGTAATTGAAGAGGGATTGTGTAGGGCCTCATATCTATGTGAGTCTTAAATAGAAATCTAGAAAGGGTAGGGATTAATTGATTAGGCCGTAAACTAGAGGTTTGTTGTAGGGTCTATGAATTGATATTATTTAAGTGGATTTGTCCCTGACTTGGTATGTCCCCAGAGTAGGAAGGTTGTTCCGAACTGGGTAATAACTTTGTATGTTGTTTATTGCTTTTCAGTACTGCTTTAACTGTTATATGCCTTGCCTGTTTGTTTATGTTAGATCAGATGTCCCAACATGTCATAGGACATCTGAGTTCTGTCATACTAGAATTTCAATCTCAAAAACTTGTTAGTAGTAATAACTTTGGAAATATAACTACCTAGCAAATTTAAACAATTAACAAAATGCGAGAACCGCTTTTGCATTTGAGCAATGGTTTCACCATGATTCATACAAAAGAGTTCAAATCTTGATTAAGTGTGTTAATCCTAGCTTGTTTGACCTTATTAGTTCCCTCATAAGTAACTTGTAGAGTATTCCACATAGCTTTAGCAGTCTCACAATGAGAAATGCGATAAAACTCATGAACACTAAGAGAAGATATGATAATGTTTTTAGATTTCCAATCATGTGACCAACTATTATCATCCTCATTCCATAATTTTTTTGGTTTAGGTGTAACAACACCATCAACCTCATATGTCACCAGTGTTGGACCATTTTGAATCGCTTTCCACACACCTATGTCATATGAGTTGACATAAATTTGCATACAAGCTTTACAATAACTATATTTTTCTCCCGTAAAAATTGGGGCTCGTTTATAATCTCCTTTAGGTTCGTACTCCATTTTCTAATAAGTTTCGAAGCCGGAATGAATCAGTATCTTGATGCCACATGTTAGACGATGATTCCTTAGTCTAGATAAAAATGTAATTTTAAAAATGTTTTATAAAAGAGTGTAAGCAGAATGTTTTGAAAATATCTCGTCCATGGATAACTAGGGTTTTATTTGATCTATCTTTTGCAAATACGAATGAAATTATTGTTTGAATCTCAAGTCATGTGGGTACAAGCTCTATTCCAAAGAAGAAGTTTCAGTTCGATCCTCTTCATGAATTAGGGTTTGTTTACCTTATGATGAAAAGCTCTTCATCTGGTCGATTAGTTTACTTGTGACACAAACTACTTTCTTCGGATTTCATTTTAATGCCTTAAGCTTAAAATCTAATGCTTCATATGGAAGATTAGGGTTTTGGATTAAGTACATGAAGACATCTAAGCATGCATTCATTCATGTTGATTTAAGGAATTCTGTATTCGTTCATTTGAAGATATTCTAGCAAGGGCGTTCATTCCAATTGATAGAATGCGAGACATTGGGATTTAACAAACACAAGTTCAAAGAAGGACTTGGGATATCAAACTCAAAAAGAAAGGAAAGAATTTCATTCATGGGAAACTCAAAATCAAATGGAAAGAAAGTAGTTTGAATACTTGATAATTTGTCATTTGATTCAAGAGTCCCCAAAGTTACATTTTTATTCAAGATCATATTGCATTACCTTGGTTCCAAGTGAATTACAAGCGCAAAGACGTTTACAATTCAGAATATACTATTCAAGTTCATCCAAATTCACCATTTATTATAAAACCATTACAATCCCATTACACCAATAATCCACAAATAAAAATTGTTACAAAAATGCACTTGTACAAAATTCCTAAGTCCTAAAGGTGCTAAAATTCTATGAGTGAACTTCCAAGTCCATGCTATGCCAAAGTTTTCCATCTTCATGTATTCTTCAATCTTCATGCCCCAAGTGAACCAACCTGCTGCATTCTTCAAACAACCCTAATTCTAACTTGCCTGCAATTAAGGAGAAATACAATCAACACAAGTATAAGTATGTGGTCAAGAAGTACTGCCCTTCATCAATACCTCGAGAATTTTTCCAGAACTGAGCATAGTTGACATGTTGAACATCTGATTTCCAGTTGGAAAGCAGTAGATCAATGCAAAGGGATTCTTGTATATCTGCCTTAATTGATATGCCCCCTCTAATCTTGTTTTACCTTCAAGCTTTTCAGCCCTGCACAATCAAATTAATTCACTATAAAAGCCCTGCATTTTTTATGCACCAAAATATATGCAAATAGAAAAATGGAGGAAACCGTGAAAATAGAAAAATTTGAAAATGAAGAAACCTGTCAAAACAGAAAAGTCAGAAGAAATCCAACTATACTCTTTGGATTCAGTTCAAAAAATCAGAATGGAGGAAAACTGTGGGAACCGTGAAAGAGAAAAAACATATTTTTAGAATTTACTAATCCTAATTTTTAATAGAAATTTGTGATCATTATTAATAGGTACCAAGCCTAACCGTCTCACCATCATATAACTACCCTTCTGACTATCTCAGCTACAACTAACAGATCAATCCTAACCATTGAAGTCTATAACAAACTTCCTAACCTATGGCTCAGATCAATATCTCATGTAATTAACTTTCAGATTCTAACAGAATAAAATAGAAAAATTCACCTTTCATATTAATTCTTCAATTCTACAGAAGAATCTTCAACCTTCTCTCACCTCCTCTCACCTTCATTCTTCACTTGCTAGAAGAATCACCCTATTGAGAAACATAAAAAAATTCCCTCCTCTCTCATCTTTCTCTCTTCATCTTCATCATCGTAGTTCTTCAACTTCAACGCATAACTTTTTTCACACTCTCCACCAACCAATTTGAAGCTTCAATCTTCACCAATCTGATAACGGTTCTTCTCACTGCAACATCTTCATCATTGCAAATTCTTCAATCTTCTTCACTTTTCTCTTCAAGCTCTATCGTCATCTTGGCATCATCTTGAACTTCGAAAATAACCATCATCATATTCGTTGCAAGATCTTTGCAATAGCTTCATCTTCATCGCGTTTTCAACGGATCTCATCGCAATTGAATTTCCTACAAACAACCACATCATCAATTATGCATAACGCATCAGAACTATAACAGAAACGCAAAAAAGACTTAATTGAAGAAGTGGAAGAAGGCGATTAGGGAGGAACGAAAGAAAGATTCAGAAAATACCTTATCCATGATGGTCATAGATTTCATCACCGCGTCAAGGTTCGATACCTTTATTCAGATCTTTCTAGTGATTTTCTTACGGTTTATCATACATTCATGGTGATTGAGGTGATTTTAGGGTAGTATGAACTTTAAATCTCAATGTTCCCAATGCAAATCCGTGAATTCTATAGATTTAGGGTTTCAAAGGTACTTCATAGATCCAACTTGGTCTTGGATTTTCACGAGAGATTGATATGATGATTGAGGTCAGGATGCAGTCTGAGTAAGAACATGGGTGGTTTGAGGTATGTTATGGTGGTGATGGAGGAGGCGGAATTACACCACCATGGTCTCGATAGAAGAAAGAGAAAGGGAAGTGTGAGAATGTTGAAGGGAAGATGGAAAGCCACAACGCCTTTAAAGCCAAAATGCAACGTATCAACTTCAAATTCATTTTCATTAGTTTTATAAAAAAGAGCCATGTTAATTGGTGGATCTGGATAGGTTAGGTTTTGGGCCATTATTGTGTGAGAAGGCCGATATCTATTTTTGGAATGGCTGGAGAAAGATGAACAAAAAAGGCTCTTCTTGGACCTAGCAAATTAGGCTCAACGTCCCACTCTATCTACACCATTTTCCAGTTCACTGCACCTCACAGCTAATTCTTAATTTCTTTTGAATTTTTGTTTTGTAAAGCAATTAATTTTGATACTTCCCTTCACAAGTTTTGACTGAAACTTTGTGTGGATATTAACATGTTGATTTATTACTTGGTGATATTTTTTCCATAATTTTTCTATTAGTTTAGGAATTAATCGAACTAATGCTTGGCATATGTTTAGAATCAGGATTTTAATGTGTTCTTGTCGATTCCGTATCCTCGATTAGATTTCTTGGCATGATAAGAGGTTTAATGTTAGATTTTGAACCTTGAATTATGTTTGGATTGAGTTACATTGTCTTATTAATTTTTAACTAATTTGGTTTATTTTGTGCAAGCTTCCAACGAAGATTTCTCGCACCATGAGACATTGGCGGATTATTTCGCATTGTATAGTTTTTGTGCATGACTATTACATGATGATTCTGATGCATGTGATTTATTTTTACATGGATGCTTCGACGGTTATCTTTAATATTCTATTTTCTGATTATTTCTCTTTGGTTGATGTGAAGCTTGCACAGAGTTCTCCGGGCTTCTCTACTTTCTTTTCTTGCAACGGATTATTATCCGTTTGGTATCATTTTGTTTCCCTTTTACTATTTCCGCATGTTACTGCTTTTCTAGATATCATGGGAAGTAGGAAATTTACTTCTTTCTATATATCATGAGAAGTAGGAAATAAAGAGTGTGCACTCGAAGTTGTTGTTTAAAGTCCTGTAGCAGGCACCGCTTTCTGTATGTTATATGTGTTTGTTTAAAATCCTACCTTTTAAGTAGGTATTCCGCACATGTGTTTACATTTGTGCTCGCATGCATCCCCCATCCCTTATTTAAGTCCTCAAAAGGAGGAAAGCAGAGAGGATTCATAATCTACCCCCGCACATTCTAGTATGTGTCATCCTTAGCTCATGTTGTACATTGATGATTCAGAGTCGTGCAGATCTTATCTATTGAGTCGTTCATATTGAGAAGGGTTTGCAACCAACCCCCACACTTTGTCAAGAGTTCAAAATGGCCATTGCTGATACTTCGCTACCCGCTTGTTTGCTTCAGGTGATCCATTCCCCTTAGCTAAAGCATTTATTTTATATTTTATTTCATCAGTCTCATGCTTGTTTGCTTCAGGTGATCCGCTCCCTTTAGCTAAAGCATTTCTCTTGTTTCCCCATCCCTTTGATTCGGTATGTGTTACTCATGTTTGTGTTCTTTTGCTAAAGCACTTGTTTGCTATACCATGCTCCCTAGGATCGCTCGATTAGAGTAGCTTTCGAGCTAGATATTAGGATAGGTATCCAAGCATGTTAACATAGGGTAGAGATTTCCCTTTTTAAGACTCAACCTTAGGATCAATCATTGTATGATAACATTAGGGATAGGTTTAGGTTAGTCTCCCTTATATGTTTTATTTTATTTCTTTTGCATCCTTTCATTAAGACTAAAAATATTTTTCTTGGCAAATTATAAAACAGCTAACAACTTTCAAATCCTTTTTTTAAGGTAAAATATATTAACCAATACAAACTTTTTTCGACTCCGGGCGTTTCTTTCAATCTTTTTCAAAAGAACATGTTAATTCACTTCTGTGCTGACGCGTGAGTCTCCAAGGGTCGAGCTGTGGCAGAAGGAGAAATTAATATTGTTCATTAAAAAATACAAACCAACAGAAACTTTTAAGCCGAACTACGGCTGCTCTGATTCCTTAAATGGGATACATAGGCATTGGGGTAGGGCCCGAACGAGCACAACTTTATCTTGCCTACATTATTTTCTCTTTTCTTTTGAATGTATTCCCTCTTCGCATTTCCTTCTAGCCCTTAAGCTTAGATTTGAAACACACCCTTTGATTAGAATAACATGAGTGGATATCGTAGAGTACTACGGGCGTGTGGGGTGATAATACCTTCCCCTCACGTAACAGACTCCCTTACCCGTATCTCTTGGTCGTTCGAACTTGATTTCAACCTTATCAGGTTTACTCAATATTTTCCTTGCCCTTCCTGTGGGATAAAAAATGTTTGATGGAGATTTCATTGATTTCATCTTGATGATTGGTTCAGCCGATTGTTTCAGCTGGCGACTTCACTGGGGAGAGATCGACCAAATGCTGGTCCATCCCAAAGTTGATCCTAGTTCTTGCTTTATTTTCTTTGGGTGTTTATTTTTATGCTTTCAGTTTATTCATTTGTACATGTTTATTTGAGCATATGTTTGCATTGCATTTTATCGCTTTTTATATATTGGTGATACTGTTGTGCTGGCTCTGTTTTCATGATTGGGTGGATGTTACAAGAGGTAAAAATCCTAGTACCCAGGCTAGAGTGCACTATCTAGGAAACCTAGGAATAGAGTAGAACATGACGACTATTGGATGAAGGTGATCATGACTTTGTAGATCTGCCGGGTGTAGTGACTGCAAGTGCACAGTCTATAGTTTTAAAAGATATCGAACCCACAAGGACTGATGGTCAAAACTATTGTTATCTTAGGATCACTATGTAAATCTAAGGCTAATTAAAAACTTGGGTGTTTTAGTTTAATCGGGAATGTATTTCGTTAACTTAATGGATTCAGTAAGTCATTGACATTTATTTTTAGTATTAAAACACAGTTTCGGTGAAAACTGAAATTCTGGCTGCAGATACTCAATGTCACGTTCAATGTTATGACACCATATCTGACTTACTATATGACAGTAAATACAAAAGCAATAAAGAACACAGTCAATTGTTTACCCAGTTCAGTGTGCAACAACACCTACTCTGGGGGCTACCAAGCCAGGGAGGAAATCCACTATAAGAGATGTTAATTCAGGAATAAACCAACCAGTTTATCTCCTTCACTTAAGACCTACCCAATGCAATTCCAATCTAAGTAAACCTTAAACCTGAGTTCCTACTCACTCCCCCTCAATCACAGCAGTGATACATAAAACAATTTGACTTAAGAGTTGATGAAGACACTCTTAAAAAACAAACACTTGATTAAGCTTCACAGCTTTTTAATCAAGCAACACAATCACTCTTGCTTCACAGCTTTGAGTGATCCACACAACTAACTTGACTCTGCTTCACAGCTTTAGTCAAGGAACATTCAAACACTCTTGCTTCAAAGCTTTGAGTGCTACATAGCCCTTACAATTAGAAACCTATTCCAAGTCACTTATCACAATGATAATTGCTTGGAGTACAATAATCAAACCTATACAGATTACAAATGATCTTCTGATCAATAAAAGGGATGCCTTGCAAAACAGCAGCTCTGTTGAATATATAGCAGCTGCAACTTCAGTTAGGGTTTCCACAAAAACCTAGGGTTAATTCCGTTTGACCTAAAGACCAGGTCACAGGACTTTATTAACCAGGTTAGGGTTGAGCTAAGTTACCCCTCAGAAAACGCAGGATTCTGTTCAGGAAAGACTGAGTTATTTTCCTGAAAAAACTCAGACTTATCCAACCTGCAACCTGTTAGTTCAGAACAGGATGTCATAACATCTGTTATGACATCTGAGAAAACCTGTCTACTGATTTAGCAAAATGTGATCATTTAGCAAAATGCTCAGATACACACTTATAAACATCAGTACTTGACTTACAATATTTTTCTGCAAAGGTACCTAATGAGTCAGTACAAACTAAACTAGAATGTTATGACATCAGTCATGACATTCACACAAACACTTGGGTTTTACCAAAAATGCAAGCCAATACCTAAACAACTACAAACTCCCCCTTTGGCAGATTTTTGGCTAAAGACCCTAAGCAATCAGAGATAGATAGCAACAGAAATAAATGACTGCAGAAAAATAGAATGTCTAATTGAGCAAGTACATATTAAGTACCAAAATATTCTCCCCCTCTTTAGCCACAAATGGGCCAAAGATACATGTTCATAATGATTATACAGTTATCCAAAAACAATTAATAAGAGCAGCAGCAGAAAAAAAAAACTGAACACACTTCCAAACTCCACCAGATATCAGCACTAACCAGCAACACCACCAAACAGCAACCAACCTTCAAGCACTGTCATCAGATCCAGAGGATTCGGGCTTCTTTCTTTTCTTGTGAGCAATGCCAGCATTCTTCTCTTTGTTTGATGTCTCAACATTCTTAGAGACATCTGGATTTGTTTCAGCATTTGAACTTTCTTGGTTCAGAGGAACAGAAATGCCAGGAACTGAGTGGTTCTCGTTCAGAATTCTTGAAACAATTTTTGCTATTGCTTGATTAACATAGGCTGTCCCTTCCCTATTTGCAATTTCAGGGGGAACTGAAGAAGAAGGATGAGATGGATTACCAGAGGCAGAAGCTTGGGGCTTTCCTGCATGTCTTGTTCTCAACTCTTCGACCTTGGTGGGGTTAGTTCCCACTTTTCTATGAGAAGAGATCTCCAGAACTTCAGAGTCCAGACAAGAAGAGATTGTCCTAGAATCTTGATCAGAGGAAGAGGTTGAAATAGTCGTATTGGATGATGATGGTGTTTGAGACATTTTGACAGTCCTAGAGGACCATCTACAATTCCTCATGTTGGAAAATACCCAACTTACCCCTTAAGTTTTCAAATTGATTTGCATCCAGAGCCTTGGTAAAAATGTCAGCCAGCTGTAGCTCAGTGGCAACATGTTCCAATTTGATTGTCTTCTCTTCTACAAGGTCTCTGATAAAGTGATGTCGTATGTCAATATGTTTGGTCCTGCTATGCTGAATGGGATTCTTGGAAATGTTGATTGTACTCAGATTGTCACAGTGCAATGTCATAACATCTTGTGTGACATTATACTCAGTGAGCATCTGTTTCATCCATATCATTTGAGAGCAACTACTACCAGCTGCAATGTATTCAGCTTCAGCAGTGGAA